CACACACAGAATACATATGAAGGAAATACAGCAACATCGTAACCATGGGGCTCTGTGGGTTGAGATGACTGGTCTTTTCTTTCTTCTTTACATTTCTTTAAGTTTCCGAAGTTTTATGTAACAATCACATCTTGCTTTGATCATTAGAAACTAGAAAAATTAACATTACTTAAAGAAATTCCCTAGAGCCTTCATCCTAGAATTTTAAAACCTGTTTTCAAAATGCAACATGACAAACTACAGATGTATTTAGAAACACCAGCATGTTGCTGGCCAAGGGTTTAATGTTTTATAAAATAAATAAATAAATGTATACACACACACACACACACACACATACACACACATACACACATGTAAGTGTATGTGTGTAAATGGTCATTCCAAATTTCAACACACTTGAGTCATTTTTTAAAAGAAAAAAGATCACTAGAATAAATACAAATATCAGAAGTTAACATGACGACAGATCTTGTTCAACAGTTTCCGTGCAGGTAAAACGTAGAAAGCTGACGGAGGCTGGTCTGAGACTAGTTGCAGAGGGCATCCCAGTTCATTCTTGTGCCTCTTAAATGAAAGACCCTTTAGAGCTCTAATGAGGTCATCATGCCTGCCTCTTCTACACCTTCCAACACAAACAAGCACGCTCACAGATAAAATAGAATCACTCAAAGTTTAAAGTCTTAGTACAAACATACATACCATATTTAAGTTTTCTCATTAAATCCGCACAGAACAAAAAAGGCATTTCCACAAAGCTCCTTCAGGATGACATGAGTGCAAACGTGTGTACTTATCCACTTCAAAAACTTACTCTGGGGAAGAAATTGTTTCACCCCAAATAAGTCCTACAAAATAAAAAAACATCTCAGCATGGTATACCTCAGAACACACACACACACACACACACACCTCAGGAGCAGAGACACATGCCAACAGTCTCCACAGACGGCCTCAAAAGAGAACTGGCAACTAGGATACTCATGCGATATCGTTATAAAGGCAAAAGCAGACATTACGGACGTGTATCAAAAAGTCTCAGATGCACTGGGGTTTTTTTGTTGTTGTTTTTGGTTTTTTTTTGAATTTTTTATTGGTTTATAATCATTTTACAAT